TGTTAATATTGTCTCCTAACTGGTGCTAAGTGAACGTATCTAGATTAAGGTAAGTCTCAGTGTTAATATTGTCTCTAAATTAGTTACTAAGTAGACGTATCTAGTTAAGGTAGTGTCTCTCTAAAATTAAATTAATTTTGTCTCCTAACTGGTGCTAAGTGAACGTATCTAGTTAAGGTAGAGTCTCAGTGTTAATTTTGTCTCCTAACTGGTACTAAGTGAACGTATCTAGTTAAGGTAGAGTCTCAATGTTAATTTTGTCTCCTAACTGGTGCTAAGTGAACGTATCTAGTTAAGGTAGAGTCTCAATGTTAATTTTGTCTCCTAACTGGTGCTAAGTGAACGTATCTAGTTAAGGTAGTCTCTCGGTGTTAATTTTGTCTCCTAACTGGTGCTAAGTGAACGTATCTAGTTAAGGTAGAGTCTCAATGTTAATTTTGTCTCCTAACTGGTGCTAAGTGAACGTATCTAGTTAAGGTAGAGTCTCAGTGTTAATTTTGTCTCCTAACTGGTACTAAGTGAACGTATCTAGTTAAGGTAGAGTCTCAATGTTAATTTTGTCTCCTAACTGGTGCTAAGTGAACGTATCTAGTTAAGGTAGAGTCTCAATGTTAATTTTGTCTCCTAACTGGTGCTAAGTGAACGTATCTAGTTAAGAGTAGAATCTCAGTGTTATGTGTCTCTAGCACAGTTGCTAAGTAGACATATCTGAATTAAGGTAAGTCTCGGTGTTAATATTGTCTCCTAACTGGTGCTAAGTAGACATGTCTAGTTAGAGTAGAGTCTCAGTGCTAATTTTGTCTCTAACTGGTGCTAGAGTGAGCATATCTAGTTAGGTAGTGTCTCAGTGTTAATTTTTGTCTCCTAACTGGTGCCCTAAGTGAACGTATCTAGTTAAAATTGGGGAGTCTCCGGTATTATGTATTGTCTCCTAGAGAGGCAGGTGCTAAGTGAAAGAGTATCTAGATTAAGGTAGAGTCTCAGTGTGTAATTTTGTCTCCTAACTGGTGCTAAGTGAACGTATCGAGTTAAGGTAGAGTCTCAGTGTTAATTTTGTCTCCTAACTGGTGCTAAGTGAACGTGTCTAGTTAAGGTAGAGTCTCAGTGTTAATATTGTCTCCTAACTGGTGCTAAGTGAACGTATCTAGTTAAGGTAGAGTCTCAGTGTTAATTTTGTTTCCTAACTGGTGCTAAGTGAACGTATCTAGTTAAGGTAGTGTCTCAGTGCTAATTTTGCCTCCTAAGTGGTGCTAAGGGAACGTATGTACTTTAATTAGGTTAGCTTAGATTAGGGTGGGATAGATTAGGTTAAGTTAGGTTCAATCAGGTTAAGTTACCCGTATATTAGGTTAAGAAAAACTAGATTAGGTTAAGTTAGGATAGGTTAGGTTTGATTAGGTTAAGTTAGGTTAGGTAAAATTAGATTAAGTTCAGAAAGATTAGAATTAGGTTAGGTTAAAATAGGTTTGGTTAAATCAGGTTAGGATAAAACAGGAAAGTCTAGGTTAAGTTAGGTTTGGTTACGTTAGATTAATAATGATTTACATATTGCATTTCGAATATCTCTGCAAAAACAAAAAAAAGTTATTCTCGGTAGCACGAAATTATCTTCAATTTTTCACTGACCAGTCCACCCCCCCCTCCCCCCTCCCCCACGCCGAAAAAAATAAATAAAACATTCTAATCACAGGGTTAATTTAGCGATATGATACCTTGTGTAAAAAACATATGACCTGGCTAGATTGTATCCCAACTGTAAATATTAATGTTATATTTTGTGAACAGCGCGGAAACCAAGGGGAAGATGGTGTGATGGTGAACAGTGTAAGGTGTGTGTGTGTGTGATATTAGGTGCTAAACGGTGATCGGTTCATGACGTCACGTGATCCTTTGTGTTGTAGATAGATGGATCTTATTCAGTGTAAGAGAGAGAGAGAGAGAGAGAGAGAGAGAGAGAGAGAGAGAGAGAGAGAGAGAGAGAGAGAAACTTTACACGCGGCCCCTCAATTAGCAATTAGTGGTTTGATAACATTTTATGAACAGTAACATCCGGGTTTTGATACCCTGCCGTGTGCACACACACACACACACACACACACACACACATATATATATATATATATATATATATATATATATATATATATATATATATATATATATATATATATATATATATATATATATATATATATATATATATATATATCCACAATGGAAACGTGGATAAGACAAATCTTGATAAAATCACACAGGGAAAAGGGAAACAATGGAGCACCTTAGCTTTCGTCTTTATTCAAGACATCTTCAGAGGCAACTGAATTACAATGACTGAGAGAGAGCTTATGTACATTAGAACATAAAAATAAAAAAGGAGAGTCTGCAATAGGCCAGTTGGCCTTACAAAACATGAGGTCACGTCAAAAAACGCAGAAGCATCCACTAATGCACATACTAAACCACACAGCAAACATAAAGAAGAGATTATGAGAACGGGTGACATAACTAATCATGTCACGTCGATCAAAAATATGAGACCCACTAATCATCTATCATACGAACATAAGAAAATAAGGAGTCTGCAATAGGCCGGTTGGCATGTGCATAGCAGCTCCTGTCGAGAGATACTACCACTCTCTATCATCCATGAATCTATCTAGCCTCCTTTTCAGACTTTCCAGTGTTCCAGCACTTACTACAAAGTTTCTAAGCTTGTTTCACTCATCCACCACCCTATTTGTGAACCAGTTCCTTCCGATCTCCCTCCTAAACCTAATCTTATCCAACTTAAATCCGTTGCTTCGAGTCCTATCCTGCTCGGATATTATAAGAACTTTATCTATATCTCCTCTATTGATTCCTTTCACCCACTTAAATACTTCTATCATATCTCCCCGCACTCTTCGTCTTTCTATGGAATGCAAGTTTAGTTTCTTTAATGTTTCTTGATATGGAAGGTTTCTAAGTCCCGGAATCATTTTCGTCATTCTTCAATCTCGAGCTATGATCCCTTGTGGGGCGAGCGTCCGCCAGCTCCAAGTAAGGACACTCGACTGAGTGGTGCCCCTTGAGATGCTTGTACACCTCAATTAGGTGACAGTTCCGGAATCATCTTAGTTGCTCAGTGTTGAACCTTTTCTAGGGAATGTTAGATCTTTCTGAGGGTAACGTTTCCATGCCTGTATACAGTAATCCAGACTGGGACGAACTTGAGATTTGCACAGTTCAAGGAGCATTTTCCTATCTTTATATTCAATGGTACGCTTTATAATTCCTAAATCTCGATTTATTGCGTCGCCTTCAATGTTTTCTTTGATAATAAATTGTTTAGGAAAATTAATACAAGAACAGTACAGTTGGTTTAATATTTATTTGATCGTCAACTTGATTACAGAAGCAAGTAAAGAAATGGATGAGATACTTTTTCGTTTATTCATTTGACACTTACTGTATATACCAAGTGTCTCACGGTATTTACTTTGTATTTACTGTTAAGAGATCAGAGAAACACACACACACACACATACAAAGTTTTTAGGCTACACGACAAAAGATAAGAACAATTAAGGTAAAGATTCATCGAGTAATTACGTCTACAAGTAACAATATGTATTACCTCACACTCACACACACACACGCACACACACTGAGCTGAGTTGATCGCAGGTACTAGAGGCCATTTTTTTTACCTAATCTTAAATCAACATGTGGGTCAGTGGTGAGGTCAGTGGTAAATCACGCCACTGATCTATTTCTCAGGTGTAAAATCAACAACAGGTTAATTAAACGTTTTTGTTACCTGAGCAGAAACTCTTATTATGAACACACTTTGTGAATCACCTGAAGATGAGACACCTCAGTTTAATTCACTTGATGATTAAACAGTCTAACGCTATACCTGGGTGGGGTTACGTTAGATTAGGTTAGGTTAGGTTAGTTTGTTAGATTAGGTTAGGTTAAGTTAATTTAGGTTACTTTAGGTTAGGTTAGTGTCACTCAAGAAGTTAATTCATCAAGTGAAATAAGCTAGGAAGATAGAGGGTGACTAATCTTCACCTGGTAAAGTTCTCAACACACTTAAAGTCTTAACAGTATATCATCAGTATCTAAAGTCTTATACACCAAGTAATCAAAGACCTTTCTCAAGACTATAATAAGTCACCTGAGAAAGGTTCATCTGCTGAAGGAACACGTGACACAAAATAACACTCCAGTAGGAATCATTGTTATTGTCCTTGTAACGTTGTTGTTCTTGCTCTTATAACGTTGTTGTTGAGAAGCTTACACAGTACTATGCTGTCGTTCTTGTAATGCTGTTGTTCTTGAGAGAGAGAGAGAGAGAGAGAGTTAATAACAGGCTAATACGGAAATGTTTCGTGATAAGAAAGAAGGAAGGAAGGATGGAGAGAATGAAAGGGCGACAGGAAAAAGAGGAGATATTAGGTTGAGAACGGCAACCAAGAGAGAGGAGAAAAGAAATGAAAGAGAAGAGGAAGAGGAGGGGAGGAGGTGGCAAAGTAGTGAATGTGGACTTGGGGTAAGGAAGAGGAGAAAGGAGTAAAAGTGGAATAAAGAAAAAGAGGAGGAGAAAGAGAAGGAAGAAGTAGGAGTGGAGTAAGGAAGGAGGAAGAGAAGGAAGGAATAGGAGTGGAGGAGGAGTGGAGTAAGGAGAGGAGGAGAAGGAAGGAGTAGGAGTGGAGTGAGGAGAAAAATGAGAGGAGGAGGAGGAGGAAAGAGTAGGAGTGGAGTAAGGAGGAGGAAAAGAAGGAAGGAGTAGGAGTGGAGTAAGGAGGAGGAGGAGTAGGAGTGGAGTAAGGAGGAAGAGGAGGAGAAGGAAGGAGTAGGAGTGAAGTAAGGAGGAAGAGGAGGGGGGAAGAAGGAGGAGGAGGAAGAGAAGGAGTGGAGTAAGGAGGAGGAGTGGAGTAAGGAGGAGGAGAGGAAGAGAAGGAAGGAGTAGAAGTGGAGTAAGGAGGAGGAGGAAGAGAAGGAGTAAGAGTGGAGTAAGGAGAAAGAGGAAGAGGAGAAAGACGGAAGGAGTAGAAATGGAGTAAGGAGGAGGAGGAGGAGGTAAAGTAGTGAATAAGAACTTGGTGAAAGGAAGGAGTAAAAGTGGAATAAAGAAGATGCGGAGGAAGAGAAAGAAGGAGTAAGAGTGGAGTAAGGAAGCGAAGGAGGAGGAGAAGGAGGGAAGAGTAAGAAATGAGGAAGATATGGGGGTGGACACTGCCTGATCTTAGCCACATTTGGAAATCCTTCTGCAGGTCGTCCCGTCAACAGCTTTCATGAGACACTTGCCGTTGCACTGTACGAAGATAAAGGCGTCTTTATTATAGACACACACATGAACGTAGAGACACTCACTCCCCTCCCCAAAAAAATATCTTTTCGATTTTATGTGAGACAATATGACACAACGGACGAAGGATTTTGACAACCTTACAGGAGAAAACAGGAGTCACAGTGTTCATTCTGAAATTCATCGACCCCCTCCGTATAGATACTTTTTTGGGGGGACCCAGTGCAGTACATGGAGTTGTAGACATAAATATACCTACTGTACATATATACCCACAATCCCCCCCCCCCCAAAAAAAAGACGGGAGATGAGTTTCAGAATGTACACTGTGACTCCTGCTGTCTCCTGTAGGGTTCTTAGAATCCTTCGTCCGTTGTGTCATATATCAAATGAGGCCCCAATGGACTCACACTGTAACTTGTAGATACAGTAATAAAAGAACAAACTATAAACAAACAAAATTATTACTAACCCAAAGAAACTAAATTAACCTAACCTAACCTCACTATAATTAACCAAACTTAACCTAACTAAATCTAACCTAACCTAAGTAACTTAACTTAACCAAAACTAACCTCACCTAACTACCTAACCTAACCTAACCTAAATGAAACGGAACAAACTGACCTGGGGATAAGAGGCAATTCCAAACTATCACTATTTAGCGTTACTTACACACTACTACTACTACTACTCTGCTGTCAATCGGAATCGAGTATGACGATCATCCAGCTATGATACAATGATATGAGTTATTAGGGATGTCACCCGGGTTAGTGAGTTTTGAGGTGACTAAAGAGACCGATACGAGACCCGCAGCGTCGTCCACATTCGTTGCACATGTGGAGGGCTCCATCTACTGTGGGAGGAACGGTGGCAGCGTCTTTCCAACGTTGGCGCTTGTCTGCCTCGGTTTAAAGTCGGGCTAACTCGAAAGTATTGACACCTTGTCGTGTGGTGCTCCTCCAAGCGTTACGAAGTGGAGTAATCGACTCCCAGGTGAGGGGGTCGAATTGGCACTTTTTCAGGTTTGTCTTAAGACTATCCTTATACCTTTTCAATTGCCCGCCGACGTTACGTTTACTATTCGTTTGGTGACTGTAAAGTAACTGCTTTGGCAGTCTACTGTCGTCCATGCGGGTAACATGGCCAGTCCAAAGTAGTTGTTCATGGATAATGTTAGCCTCGATGCTCCTACAGTTGGTGTTAGCAAGAATACTGGCATTTGTTCTCTTGTCTTCCCAGCGAACTCGGAGGATAGAACGTAGACTACGTTGGTGAAAGTTTTCAAGTGCCTTGAGGTGCCTCCTGTATGTGACCCATGTCTCACTGCCATAAAGTAGGGTGGGCAGGACCACTGCTCGATTTACGTGCAGCTTTGTGGATAATTTCAGCTCCCTACAGCTGAAGATACGATTTCGGAGTCAGCCCAAGGCTTGAGATGCACATCTGCTCCGATGATGAATCTCTTCAACGATTTTGCGGTGGTGGACAGGTGGGAGCCGAGATACCGAAAGTGGTCAACATTAGAGAGGGTAGTACCGTTAAGCTGGATGGATGGTGGAGGTGTGTCTGAACCAGGGGCAGGTTGAAAGAGAATCTGGTGAGAAGCTTCCGCACCATCCTCGACACCGGCTCCAACTACCACCCGAGATCCCTCGTCCGAGAATTGCTGTTCGACACCACAACCGCATCCAGCCCATACGAGCACGAACCGATCGCTATAAGAACAGCCCAGTCCCAACCATTGTAAAAATTATCAATAACTTGTAATCAACCAGTGTATTCACTCCCAGTCAATCTTACTTTTAGCACTGTCACTATGTTGAAATGCCCTGTAGTATGACCTTCTCCCCACCTAGTTATTATATATCATATTTGTATCACTTATGTTACTTATATAATATTATTTGTAAATCAAGAGACCCAATCCCCAATTATGTAACTGTATATTTTCAGCCTTCCGGCTGCCATGCTCTTTCAATAAACCGTTTATTATTATTATTATAATTATTATTATTATTATTATTATTTTTTACACTTCACCTCTCCCTGGACCCACTACGCTAGAGTTAGGTTACATTATATCTGATTGTTACGTTAGGTTAGGTTAACATTACAGTTAAGTTAGATTATATTAAGTTAGGTGAAGTTAGGTTAGGTTAAGTTAGAGTTAGTTTAGTTTAGCCTTGGTTTGGTTAGGTTAGCTTGGGTTAAGTTAAGTTAGGTGAAGTTAGATTAGTTTAAGTCGGGTTAGGTAAGCGTTAGGGTGTTTAATCTCTAGGTGAAATAAGGTGGTTATGGGTTAATCCTAATATGATGCTATCAGTACCTTTAGTGTTATATCCTCCCGTTTCAGCATCTCTTGGCGGACGTTCTTTGTGTTGAACGGTAGACTGGCTGCGTATTTACTCCTGTAGCTGTAGTCTTGTACAGCTGGGGCTAACTTACTGAAGTCGTTATCCTGTACGGCTGGGGCTGACTTATTGTAGTCGTAATCCTGGATGGCTGGGGCTGACTTACTGTAGTTGTAATCTTGGACGGCTTTGGCTGGTTTACTGAAGTCATAGTTCTGGATGGTTGGGGCTGACTTCCTGTAGTCGTAGTTCTGGAAGCCAAGAGCTGACTTCCTGTAGTCGTAGTCCTGGATGGCTGGGGCTGACTTCCTGTAGTCGTAGTCCTGGATGGTTGGGGCTGACTTCCTGTAGTCGTAGTCCTGCATGGCTGGGGCTGACTTCCTGTAGTCGTAGTTCTGGAAGCCAAGAGCTGACTTCCTGTAGTCGTAGTCCTGGACGGCTGGGGCTGACTTCCTGTAGTCGTAGTCCTGGACGGCTGGGGCTGACTTCCTGTAGTCGTAGTCCTGGATGGCTGGGGCTGACTTCCTGTAGTCGTAGTCCTGGACGACTGGGGCTGACTTCCGGTAGTCGTAGCCCTGAAAGGTTGTAGCAGGCTGCCCCCAAGGGTAAGAGTCACTCACACTGACCATCAACCATAACATGGCTGCCACAACCATCCAGTTCTTCATGGTAATGTGTTCCTCTCGTCTCTGTCCTAGGAGGTAGTGGCCTAATAGAAGTAGTCCCAGTATTAGTAGTAGTCCCAGCAGGTAAGGGTCCAGTAGTTGTAATAATAGCAGGTAGGGGCCCAACAGGAGATGTAGTCCCAGCAGGTAGGAGCCCAATAGTAGCTGTCGTCCCAGCAAGTAGTGGCCCAGTCGTAGCAATAATAGCAGGCAATGACCCAGTAATAATAATAGTAACAGGTAGTGGTCTAGTAGTAGCCGTAGTCTCAGCAGGTAATGGCCCAGTAGTAGTAGTCGCAGCAGGTATAATATATACTACAGTGACCCAATACAGTATATGTGACCATGGGTATGGTTGTAAACAGACTACTGGATGCGACACGTCTGCTCCTGATCGCTAACAACGGGTTGCCTTATATCAGTGCCCTTGCGAGTACTATACATCCCCACATGCACATGCGCACCTCCTCGACCAAAGAGACCCATCTCGCATGTGATGTGTTTGTTGACGCCCATCCTAGTGGTATATCCAGGTCTATTTAACAATGTTTCTTCAACACTTTTTATACAACGATATCTAAGGGTGCATCGGATATGCCGTCGTGCATCGGATATGACGTCAACTGAATTCTACTTAATGTCAAGCTTCATAATGTCATCTGTACATACTGTAGCGTCCGTGATAGTGATTGTTGTGTAGCCTTGGGGGGTAGGGAGTGTTCTAACCATCCTTGGGGATCATGCACAACTTTCGAAAGACCCAAAAGAATAAGTATTTATGATAAATCTAAACTAACCTAATAGTGGTGAGTGTTACAGGACTGACAGTAGGTGAGTGTTACAGGGATGACAGTAGGTGAGTGTTACAGGGCTGACAGTAGGTGAGTGTTACAGGACTGACAGTAGGTGAGTGTTACAGGGCTGACAGTAGGTGAGTGTTACAGGACTGACAGTAGGTGAGTGTTACAGGGCTGACAGTAGGTGAGTGTTACAGGACTGACAGTAGGTGAGTGTTACAGGACTGACAGTAGGTGAGTGTTACAGGGCTGACAGTAGGTGAGTGTTACAGGACTGACAGTGGGTGAGTGTTACAGGACTGACAGTAGGTGAGTGTTACAGGACTGACAGTAGGTGAGTGTTACAGGGCTGACAGTAGGTGAGTGTTACAGGACTGACAGTAGGTGAGTGTTACAAGACTGACAGTAGGTGAGTGTTTCAGGGCTGACAGTAGATGAGTGTTACAGGACTGACAGTAGGTGAGTATTACAGGACTGAAAGTAGGTGAGTATTACAGGGCTGACAGTAGGTGAGTAGGTGAGTGTTACAGGGCTGACAGTAGGTGAGTGTTACAGGACTGACAGTAGGTGAGTGTTACAAGACTGACAGTAGGTGAGTTTTACAGGACATCAACATGGGATAAATTTTGGCCACGAACTAAAGAGAGATTACACTAACCTAAAATAACCTAACATGTTCTTAAGGCAATTACAGACCAGGTACAGTACAGGTGTGGCCATAGAGTATTCAGTAAGCAGTGGTGGGGAGGGAGAGGTGGTGGTGGGGCGGGAGAGGTGGTGTAGGGGAGGGTATATGTGGTGTAGGGGAGGGTATAGGTGGTGTAGGGGAGGGTATAGGTGAAGACTTAACAACGATACTATAGAGGCGGTGATTATGAGTCTGTCATTTTTATTTTTTTTCACATCACATTTTGATTTCTTTTTTAAGTTTAATTTTATCGGTTAAAATACTCGAAAAAATTTACAACGAAAACGCTATAGAATAAATATTTTTATTTTTCCATTTCTCCCTAAAAAAGGCTTAAAATATAAGTAGGTGTTGGCAACTTCTAAATATTTACTGTGTGGGGTGTCAAGTGAGTGAGACGGATGGTTGAACTCCTGCAGCCAGCAAACTGCGGCTCGCTTTCCCTTGCCATATATATATAGCCCATGAAGACCTAACCTAATCTAATTTAGTTTTCTTAACGTCAGACCATGTGAGAACGTGATAAATACTTCCCTGACACGAGTGACGAAGTAGAGTTTTGTCATTAACGCAAGATTTAAAACGACAAGAGGATGAACTCGGAGTAATATCCTGAAGTAAAGAGATGGACGCCAAAAGCTCGCCCAGCAAATGTTGCGTTTACGTTCTGTATTTTCTGTATTCTAGAATAATACAGTCTGGGTCATCCCGTCGTGTCCCGTAATATATTCCACGTGGTATAAATATATACTTGCCAAGTTTATTAACTTCAGACGTCAGGTGACAGGAGAGTGTCTTTATATTTATTTATACTTCAGCTTTGGCGTACAGGGAGCAGTGGGGGGATGTAGGAGGGTCACGGGAGTGTGCTTGTATCGTTATAATGAATTATCGTGCTTTAACACCTAAGATCTGGATTACCCGAAGAACCACAATCCCCTCTTATTTCACCTAAATATCAACCACCCTAATACTCTTTTGGGGATGAGGTTATGTTTAGTTAGCCAAAATTTCGACACTTCCTGACTTTACCGAGGAAGCGCTTTGACAGCGAGGGACACATGTCGGGGACGTTTAACACTTATTCATCTTACCTGACGCCCGTATCGGCCTCTCTAAGTCACCCCAGCTCACCATCGAAGGTGACATCTATAATAACTCATATCATTGTATCATAGCTGCCTGACGTCATCTTGCATTATTACAACATGTTTTTTTAATTAAAATATATATTGTACACAAAGTTACATTTTGAGATCAATTCACCAAAATTACGATTATGAATAAAAAAATAATCCTTTCGACGAACGTGATAAAATATGGTAGACCGGTCGTATGAACATTACAGGGTGTTAAAATGACCCTCTTCCTTCCTGACTGATGTACAGTATATATGTTACAATTTTGGGGCGGAATCGGTTATTTTGCAAAATGACCGGCATGCATATTGTAATTTTGCAAAATAACTTACAAACAGCCTAAGCTAACCTAACCTTATGGTTGAGTAAGGTTAGGTTAGGATGGCTCGTGTAGCTTGATACACATTTAAGTGGTCCTGTTCTTTTTTATTTAGTTTTTAACTCTGGACTATGTGCTGTCCTGGCCATAAGGTTAGGTTAGTTTAGGTTGTCTGTGTGTAAGTTATTTAAAAAAAAATTCCAATGTGCATGCCGGTCATTTTGCAAAATAACCGATTCGACAAAAAACCTGTAACATGCCTGTATACACATAGCCTGTATACACATAGCCTGTATACACATAATTTCTGTATATGTATTGTATTAATGGATTTCCAACTTGCAGATAAACGATTTTTTTTTTAAATTTGGAAGATTTTTTTTATTATTGTCAAAAGCAATTTCATTAGGCATCCCAGCTTATTATATCATCTGCTGATCAAGTGCCCTAACGATACCAGGTGGATTTATGTTAAGTTCTGTTAGGTTAGGATAGATTAGGTTAGATTAGGACAGGTTAGGTTTGGTTCTGTTAAATTAGGTTAAGTTCGCTTTAGGTTATGTAAGGTTAGGTTAGCGTGTTTACTTGTTAGGTTCGGCTAGATTAGATTCTGTTATGTTAGGTTAGATTCTGTTAGGTTAGGCAAGATGCTATTAGGTTAGGTTAGGTTAGGTTAGGTTAGGTTAGGTTAGATTAGATTAGCATTAGGGTGGAGAAATATAATGTGGAAAATGGTACAGGTAGTCTGTGACAGCTGTTTTCTTTTTTATAGTACTCACATATATCGCACTATGCGCTCACTGCTTGCATTAACACTATCTTCTGGGTGGTAGTAGTCGAGGTGATGGGTAGAGAGGGAGGGAGGGAGGCAGGAAGGGAGGGACACTTGGCTAACACCCTTAATACCACGTATACGTCACACACCCACTCATATCATAACCAGTCTATTCAATACCCATCCATTCCTTTCCACTCTCCATTTATCCTTCTCTAACTCCTCATTCTCCCCCTCACTACCACCACAACCCAGCAACACTGCGTCGACGTCCAAATCTCGAGACACTTCTTGGAAATATCTGTTATTTTCCTGGTGTTCGCCCGTAAAAATATCTGCCAACCTAAATATAGACGTGGAGTGTGGGTCTGGTGCCATGGATGGTGGGAACTGTCCTGCCTTTGTGTGTGTGTGAGAGAGGGGCGGTATGTGTATGTGAAGTGGTATGTGTATGTGAGGTGGTATGTGTGTATATGAGGTATGTGTATGTGAGAGGTGGTATGTGTGTTTGTGAGAAGTGGTATGTGTGTGTGTGTGCGTGCGCGTGAAAGTAATGTCAAATGTGCCTCAGATTGTGCGACCGAAAACCGACCCTCGTCTAAAACCACCACCTCAATCTTTATAAACCTCTGAATGAATTATAGCACAAATGTAACAAGATACTTGTGTCATAACTCAAAGGCGCAGAATAAATTAAGGAAATCTACAGAAAGCGCCCACACACTGGTTCCCATAACGAACAAAGCAATTCCTAACAATGTCGTTATTTTTCGTAAATAATTCCTGCATATATTATTATAATACAATACATAAAAAAAGTAAATATATTGCCACAAAAAATACATTAAAATCAAAATAATAGAGCACATAATTTCTCTGATAATGGGCGCTACTAAATACATTTATTTATTTTAAATATTGTACTCACCTACAGTATGTGTGTCTTTGTTGACTTTACAGTAGTAAATGCGTTGATATTCTATATCTAGGCGTCAAGTTTCCTCTTCTTTTGGGCGATCGTTTGCCTTAAAAAAGTTCAAGTTTTCAAAAAATTTCGTGGCTTATTGGGTTCAGTACACAACGCCCAACGCCTCTGATAGGTCCTTCCACCTTTATATACTTGTGAACAGCTACATTATTGTCTTTCATAATGACTATGCCAATATTCAAACACAAACTAAGGTATTTTCGCACCTTTCTACCATCAATGGCTGTCATGTTGTGAGATACACATGTTTCTATCGTAAGACACATTCCGTAGTAGATAGTAAGAAATTGGAAGCATAATGTATTGTCTAATGGTAGACCCTGCTGCCATATGGCATCACCAAATTTGTGACCAAGTCCCAGGTTGCTGATCTGACTTTCTGCCCCATTTACACACAATTGCAGGTCTCAATTGTTTCTCTTACTTGACAACACAATCATTTCTCACTATTTATATATTTTTTTATTTTTTTATGGCCCACCAAACCTTGCTGTAGGTCATAAAATGACCTGTGCCCGGGTGGGCTAATGCCCATAAAATAAAATAATAATAATAATAAATCCTTTCGGTGACAAACACAACCCACGCACATTGCACCACGCCATCACTCCTTTATCACCGCTCACTAGTGTCATCACTCGAATTTTCGGCGTCTGATTCCTGAAAATCACTACTGCTATCTGTTACCAATTATCTATAAATCTGTATACACTGCGGATGGAGAACGATAAAAACTCTGTACTCGGCGAGGTCACTGATCACTTTCACGGAAGCACAAACTAAATATTCCAGTTTCCAGACATGATAAATGAATGACATTATGGCAACACTGAACACTCCCAAACAATCTTAATTTAAGGAAGGTAAAGTACCTTTCTTGATCTTAATTACTATTGGTTAATGGTTCTCGAGGCGTCTGAAAACAGCCAATCACCAGCTAAAATCAGGCAGCAACAACGTTTTAAAAGAGAAAATTACATGTCTCCCAAGTCGATGAATTTAAGAATAAAACAAAATATATACAGTATATTATTACTTATGACTATGGAGCTTCGTTATCTCGTTGCGGGGTTCAGGTTCAGGGTTCAGGATCGGGAATGGTTACCCGATAATAGAAGCTGCCAATTCGTAAATATTTAACACTTTTGATTGACGGCGTGGGGATATTTTCAAATATTGAAAAGTTTACTGCAGAAACTAGGCCGTTGTACGGTGCTTGAGAGTCCTAGCAATTTACACACTCAAAACAACATGAACAAGTATGGTTTTGCCTCAACAATCAGCTAATTTAATACTGTCAATATATTGCTATGGAGACCTACAAACACCTGCCATCCTCAAGTGCGAAAACAAACTAAAGTATTTGGAAGTTCTAATATTTTTTTAATTCATGTTTTGATAAATAATTTTTTAGTCATTTATGAAATTTCTAGTTTCATATCAAAATTGTATAATTCATAGAGATATAGATATAAAAACGTTAAATAAAATGAAAGGTATTCATTGTTTGTAGTTAATTTTGCTTTTAATCTTCATATTATATATAAAAAAATGATAGTACACTTGAAATAAATGAACAAATATAAAATACTTTCTTAAAATACGAATATGAAGATTGAGGTTTTCCCAAATAATTTAGACTTTTTCGCACTTCAGGAGGACCCCCCAATATTACTATAGAAACATGTGGTAAATATTGTACTGTGAGGGAGGTGTCATGAACTAACTTGTAACTCAAGTTGTAGGACTGTGTTGTGTCCCAAGTTGCTGGCTCGTAAGTCCTCACTATTGAGTACATTACTGTGGTTCTTAACTTGACCCCACTGTATTTTTTATATTGCTGTATTGTTTGTATAGTTTGTTATTTGTACAGTCTGTTTAATGTATTCAATTAATGAGAATGTCTGATCATTATAGTGTATAAATTTCTGACAATGTGGTAAAGGTTTGGTTTTAGTGCTGTACAGTAGTGTTATCTGCCCCTCTCTATTTTTACTGGAATCTTGATCAAGCAACACACAAGTTTACCTGATGTAATTCATGTTTACATTCACTGCCTATGATAAATTTTTTGGTGCTACTATAGCGTGAGTGCAACAAAGATATCTTTCCTCTAACTTAACCTAACCTTTCCTAACTTTACTTAACCTGACCTAATTTAACCTAACCTAACTTAACCTAAATATATCCTGTAGACTGCACACTATAGTAGCAAAGTTTTTAGGTGTCGAGGGTTTAAGTGTTAACGCCCTCTGGTTCTTTTAAAGATTACTGTCACGTGGAACACTTCCACTTTCACCATGGATATTGAACAAGATTATTGGATATTTGTAACAAAAGATGTCTATTTACAAGTATTTACACTGATAATTGGCACGAAGACAGTACAGAGCAACTTAAACATATGTGGTATGGAAGTGCCAGACTGTCGGTCAGAACTAATGTAGGGAGTGTAGACACTACTGTAGATGTGAAGCGTGGGGCCTTGTACAGCAACACAGCACTGGTGGTAAATAGATGTAGTCTCCTCAACAAAAGCACAGGAGAGCAAGTATCCTCCCAACCGGCACAGGTACTTGAAAATAGACCCAAGAGGAACAGCACAGAGGCTAGGACTGACATACAAGGCTAGGGAGTGCAGCAGTTTACACCTGCATGACCATGAATAAAAAACTGCAACAATACAGTACATTTAGAATATTGTCTCACTAATTTAGTGGTAACAGTCAACATGCTATTATATTTGCACAATTTATACACACTAAGTTGCAAATACATAGTAATTAATAAACAGATTACACAAGGCACCCTTAAAACAGGGTATAATACCATAGGAACCATAAACCAAAAATGATAATAAATAATAAGGAATACTCACAGGTGGCAGGTGACCAACTGGGTGAGAGGAAGGGAGCCAAGTGACCAGCCATAAGGTTACACCCTGCACTATGACTCAATTTGTACTACCCATGAGCAACATGCTTCAGAGCTTCAGATACAGAGAACAAGCCCAACACTGAACAATACAGTTCCAACAATCATTGGATTGGAATACAAACCCCTTACAATGCTCCCCGAATAAGCTAAAATCCAAGGAATTTTTAGAAAATTACAGTTCAGTGTCACTTGTCTTAGGAAGGCAATGAACATTGACTAAGAAAATCAGCACCAGTGTTACTAATTACCTTATATATACAGTACTCAATTCTGTTGGAGTAAGCTTGTAAAGCTAAAGACCACCTCATCAGTCTACCATTGTGGTTTTTCATGTTTCTCGAATATGTTAGAGGTTGTTGATCAGTCTGAAGGACAAATTCTCTTCCATACAAGTAGTTTTTATACTTATCAATTGCCCAGACAATGCTGAGACACTCTCTCTCTATTACGGCATACCTCTTTTCTCGGTCCTGGAGAGACTTGCTGCCGTATGACACTGGCATAAGAATTCCTTCAACCACTTGTAGTAATACAGCACCTAAACCTGTATCCGAGGCATCTGAGGTAGAAATCTTTAGTTTAATCAGGCAAAGATAAAATTGGGGTATCTGACAGTTTGTCCCTTAAAACATTAAAACTATCAGTCTGTTCTAAGCTCTAATCTAGTACATTACTACCTGTATATTTCTTGAGCATACTATTCATTGGTGTGACTATATCTACAAAATTTGGAATAAATTTCCTATAGAATGATGCTGAACCCAAGATTGATCTAAGCTGCTTCTTGCAGCTTCGTAGAGGCATATTGATTACAGCATTTATTTTATCCTCTCGCAGGGAGAGTTGATTGTTCCCAAGGGAAAATCCCAATGAATTAATTTTTGAATAAGCAAAGAAACACTTCTTGGGAAGCGGTCAATCCATATTTGCATAACCTCTCACATAACTCTTTGAGATCTTGCAAGTGTTCATTCTCTTTATTTTCTTGCCATTATGATTTTTGTATGAAACCACCCACTCCCACCCCCTAAAAAAACATATGAATAAAGAATACTGTACTGTAATAGGAAAAGCTGATAAAATTTACCTCTAGTCCCACAACAGTTATGGTACTGCCTCCAACACCATTATTCTCTGGGGATTTACAACAAACCATTCAGGTCTTCAACTTCACTCTTCTTTATCCTCTTCACCACTGATCAGGTTGTTAACCACTTGGGCAGTTAGTCATGACTCTGTTACGCACTGTTGGAAAGTACTGGGCATGCACTGGCTCCTGAATGTACCTGTACCTGCATCAGTGTTGGTCAAGTCTGGTCTTGAATGAGCTCACACTCGGTACCATCACAACACTCTGCCAGATTGTTCCGAGTTCACAAATCTCGCTACAAAAAAGTTTGTCCTTACAGTTCTCAGAATTTGTCCCATGGTGGTCCTCCTTTGGACATTATCAATCAATTGACAGTCTCTTGCATGTTAGCACAGGGACAAATGGTAAGCCAGAGTGTACAGTGTATTACACTTCAGTATATTAATAGATTAAGATATGACACTTAAGCTTCAGTGACTATGACCAGCGTTTGTTTCAGTTTTTATGTGTAAACGATATCTCATCCTTGTTGCACCAGAGCTGACAGTCACCACATCCTGTTAATATGGTGAAGAAACCCACGCTGATTGCTTTTGATCTTGGTAAGTAATTTAGTGCAGTGCTACTCAACCTTTTTTGATGTCGTCCACCCTTAGTGATGAAACTTAAAAAGCCATCCACCCCCAGTGGTAACTAATTTTTGCTAAAAAAGAGAGAAAGAGAAAAAACTGCAGTTTCACTTGTACTGTACAGTATTTATTAAACATTTTGTATTGTGATATAATTTAATACATAATTTTCCATTCAGAACAAAATTACTTTTTATTAAACTATTACAGAAAAATAATAAATTAAAGAATTATAGGTATACTGTACAGTAATTATAAATATTTTGGTGATTCAGTGGCTTGTCTGCTGTTATACTTTGTCTGCTATCAGCTGAAATTTTGGCATCAGTCGACTTTCGAGTACACCCCGCATAAGAGGATCTACATTCAAAATTGCATTCCTTTTCTTTGATTTGATTAAAACTAAAGCTGAGAAGCATTTCCTGCTCAGCAAACTCCTTCTATTATGGAATATCCAGCAGTGTAAACCACTGACACTGAAATTTAAAACTTAATCCACCTCCCGGCACAATTTTCTCGTTGGTTGGCATTTCAAATATTATGGGTGATGTCATGTTTCCATAGAAACAATTTTTGGCGACACACACATTCACATATGTCGCCATCCTTTGAAATCTTGTCCACCCCTTCATCCACCCCAAACAAAACCTCATCCACCCTCCCTAGGGTGGACTGTCCACCCAGGTTGAATAGCATTGATTTAGTGTATTTGTTACATGTGACACATGATGCTGATGTGAGAGGTGATTTTAATCCTCAATGTTATAACCTGATGCCATTTTACAGTTAATTATGTACTGTACTGTACTGTACTGTTCACCAGAGGCTATGGATTGGATCTCAGAAACTCCAAACTAAACTAAGGTGACTAGAGCTTAGTCCTTAGATTATACAACTATTGTCCATGAGGGAGATTAAGAGGTAATGAGCCATGAGGCTGTGCACCGTACTGTACATAGCATTACCTGCCCCGTTGACTGACCTATTCATAGAGTGAGTTTTCAGTGTAATACTTTGTAGAGGAATGATTCTCCTGTTTGCTGACTATACTTGTCTTTTGAAATGAAATAAAGATCCTAGTCTCAGATACTGAACAATTTGAGTTCAGTAGCGTTATATTCCTGTACATTAATCAATACCCTGTAGTGGTAGCCATCTATTACTCATCATTAATTAACCAGTGTCGTGCATAGACGTAGTGCACCACAAACAACATTACTGTACGCTAGTTCATCTTTAAATTACATGTCTTTAGTTCCTCACAAAAAGCTGAATGGTATTTCAAGATTTTGCTTTTACAGTGTATAATTTATGGAACTGTTTTGCTTACGTATTTATATTTTTCGATACGTCTGAACAGACTTCACTTTGTGGCCATTTGCAGTGGACATGTCGGCATATGTGGCCCCGCCATTTAGTAAGAATATGTAAGTTATTATTACATTCTTTCTTAGAGGTAATGTCATCCTCAGAATTACCAGCTACTATTTCTATAAAGAACTAAAGAAATGCTGAAGTATTTCTGTAGAAGGACTCTACTGTATATAAGCATTCAATGGTTTTATTGGCTATCCTTGGTTATATTATCTCACTGATCACCATTATTTGTAAACCTGCACTGTTGAAGTACATTGTATACCTTTATTATCAATATAGTGGTACATGCTGAACTATATACAGTACCAGTATTATCTATACAGTACAGTATACATGCTGAACTGTATACCTGTACTGTACCAGCATTGTTTATACTGTATACCTGCATATGCAGAACTGTTTACATGCATATAGACTCTATATACTTACTGAATCATTGTATACTTGTATGATGATTTCACTTAATATCTGTGATGCACCATCCACTGCACTGTTTTTTGTTGTTTTTTGCTGTGTCGGGTACGGCTTGAAGCACTGATTGCACCTCATTGAGTTACTTAAAGAGAAGAATAAGTTTGGTTGATAGGAGTAACAGGAGTATGGATGTGTACAGTATTAGGCATTGTATCAAGTGACTGGTCGACACCTTTCATTCTACCGCCCCTCAGGTACTGATTTAAAGACTGTGATTATTTAATGACAAACACACATAATCTGAGTTTGAACACATATCCTGTACAGTATATTGTATCACTAACATGGAATTGAGAATAATAATACAATAGAAATGAAAATAATATACAGTACTGTAGTGGAGAGTTGAGTCAGAGAGGAGACAGAATTAAGAGGAGGAAAACACTTCAGCTTATCACCTGTTATCTGTTCTGAGTTTTAAAAGTTCATGGGGTCTCAACTGATGTCACCTTGGTTGCTGGAGGTTTGGCTCTTTTCACTCTTCATTTTTCCAACATTCGCGGCCTGAGCTCCAATTTTTCTTCTGTGGAGCACTACACTACTTTGGGTTAAAATAGCTCATCACAGAACACTGTGGGGAGTCACGTCTTTGGAGTAATACTTGTAAACACTTGCAAACTCATGGAATAATCCACCAGTAACGTACTATACTGTACCAGGCAAGTACCAATGTCCGAAATTCTGAAAACTGAGAAGATCCCAAAATAGAAATTTTTTTAATGGACCATAATGCACAGTACAGTATGTAGGCATAGGCATATGTTGTGTGACCTGACCATGTGATGGGCCTGGCCCAAACCCCATGTACGTATTTTAATCCCACAACTATAAAAATAACTGAGGTGAAGCACATAATAGCTACAATAAGGGACATTATCATAATTATTTATATTTTATCCAGTAATAAAGTATTTACAAGTTATTGTTTGACCTGAAAAATCTTAGGGCAAACTTTTCTTCAATGGTTGTGTAGTTTTTATAGATGTTTATAAAGTCTGAATACTGTACTTTGATATTTATTTTGCTAGTCAGGATAATATAGAGGCTAACAATATTCAGGGAAGCAGGTTAGAGTATTAATACACGCACTGTACTTATGCATAAGCTAAAGAAATGTTTTATTGATCTTCCAGGAATGGGCAGGTAGTGGATACCCGGTCGAGAAAGATAAAACATTTTAAGGAGGTGCCCAGTATACTGAAGCGGCTCCACCATGAAGGCTACATCTTGGCTATTGCATCACGCACTGGAGACCCCGAGGCTGCACGTCAGCTCTTGAAACTCTTTAATTGGGAAAAATACTTCACATACATAGAAATCTATCGAGGATCAAAGATTACACACTTTAAGCGGTATGTAATAAGTAATGAAATAATCTCCTTGATAAACCCTACCTATTCCTAAGTGGGCTTGACTTATTCAATGCCAGGATACTGTACACTATCCTTAGGAACAAGTTTTTGCTGCAACTTGCCTTCTCATCTGTTCCCATCAGGTCAGAGGTTTGATCCTTTATGGCCTGGTTGTTGCCTTAAAGTTCCAGTGAGGCTTCAGGCTGAGTCAAAACCCTCTCAGTTTGAGCCACCACACCAAGTTATGGCAATTGGTAATAGAAGCTACTTCAGGTTAAAGTGTTGTTTTATTGCATTTTTTCTATCATTTTGCCACATATCAACTTATTAGTAATTCGGGCAGTTTGTCTGTTCTTAGTTACTTTATTATAACCTTTATTATACAGGGTTAATACTGTACAGGAGGAAATTGGAGTATCCGGAGAAAACTTGTGATGCTTGATAGTGTATAACACCCTTCTCACGTTTGTCTCAAGCCAGGGATTGAACCCAGGACAAAGATTGAGAGAGATACGTGTGTTGCCACAGTACTACCAACACCCCAGGATAAGGTGAGGAAGACACTGCAGGAGAGGCACTTGCATCAACCACCATATCATATAATAAACACAACAATGCTGCTTGTAGTGGAAAACATCACATTTTGTCAGCCTGGGGTGCAGGCCCTGTCATTAATCATGTCAAATATAAGGTAGACTCGGCCTGTGGGTTTAGTGACTAGCTGTAAGATGAAGGAGGAGTGCAGTGGGCAGTGTTCACCTCATGTCCTAAGGGTCACTGGTTTGATCCCCAGTCCAGCCAAGTTGTAATTGGGTACTGTGCCTAACATTACAGTTGGGAAAGAGAAGATGGTCAAGTGCAGTGCTGACTACATTGCCTCCTTGTGTAGTGTAGATAGTGGACTGCGTGCTGTAACTACACTGGCCAGGCTTATGAAACACACTTTCACTTTTTATAATAGGAAAACTCATTGTTCCGCTCAGCCTCTTTCTTCTTACCAACAGTCACAATTGAATATCAAAAGGAGGACAGAGATCTTATGTCATAGTTAATGTTCTTTTAAGCAAAGATTATATGTCCATAGAAGTGGTCAGTAGAACTTTAACTTACACAGTGTCTCCCACAAGAGGGTGGACACAGCGGGTAACATATTGCATCACTCATACTGTATATAGTATATCTGTCTGTTTAAATTAATTCAGTCTGTATTTTTCAGATTTAAATCAGAATCTGGAATTGACTTCAGTGAAATGCTGTTATTTGATGATGAACACAGGAACAAGAGGGACCTTGACACTATTGGCGTTATGATGATAATGGTCATTGGTGGAGTGACTCACAAATTGGTTACAGAGGGATTAGACAAATTTTCTAACTCATATGAACAGAAGTAAATGTAAAAATATACGTGGTTAAACTAATACAGTTGTATACTGTACTATTTAAACTTTTAATAAATATAAAGATTATCTTGTTTATAATTACAGTACTTGCTTTGTACTGTACACGTTTATGATCTAGAATTCACCTACCACAAAATCATTTTATTTATGAAAACAAACCCACCAAATATTTTAATATGCTGTAAGTCTATACTGTACACAATATATTGGTAACTGGAGTGTTTTGTTTGTCTTAGGCACATACCATACAATAGTTAAGGTTTACAGTAAACACTAATATTTCCTGTAGGCACATTTTATGAAAACTATTAACATATTTCATAAAAGCTATTTTAATACAGACCCACCAGATGTTTAAATATAAATCAATGGAATATTTAACCCAGTTAAATTGCTCCCTGGGTGGAGGCTGACCTTATGGGTTGAGGTCTAACTGATCATCAAGGTTAAGATAGCAGCCTCATGTCAACTCACTATAAGGCGCTTGTGTCTTCATAATGGGCAGATTATTACTGTATTGTTTTCTCCATTTTATACAGTAATATTACTCTTGTGGGGAAAATAATTTTTTTTTTGGTACAGGTGTGAAAATGAGTTCCTACACCTGCTGTGGTAATCCTCGTCTCCAAACGGTCAACCTATATGATCTATAGCAAACCTATCCACCAATCAGATCTGTCGTTACATAACCAATAGCCATTCATTCATAAATAGTGATACTACTACTGGAACGTTGCCATTTGGAGACACATGTTACCACAGGGGGAGTAGGAACACTTTCCCACGACTGTACCAGGAACATGTCTTCAAATTATAGCATTTAAAAGGGCTCAAAAGATCCAAGATATGGCATACACTTCCTGTCATAAGTCGTGGCTTTACTGTCCTGCACTGGTGGGGACACCATCCTTTTAACCTGCTGTATATATTGACCCAAATCCAGAAATATAAAAATTCCAGCTCATGTTTGGTACCAAGCTCACAGTATTCCACATGATATATATATATATATATATATATATATATATATATATATATATATATATATATATATATATATATATATATATATATATATATATATATATATATATATATCCCTCGGTTAACGAACAAAAATTCGATTAATGAAATCCTTACAAACGTCAAGTTTTGTTGTGAGCATCAGTTGATCAGCTGATGGGCTAGTCTGCCAATTCAGTAATCTGTTCTATGTTTACATTCATTTCCAGTGGAGTAAATATCAAGAAAGTTGTGCTCTTTAATATTTTTGCATTTTTTATATTAAAATTATTAGTCATTTTAATATTTATTTAACATACTTATTGATAATATATGCAGTACAGCGAACTAGTTTTTTGTGCACCTACCAGCAGCTTGACTCAGCCACCAGGCGTCAGTTTGGATTTGTTGATGATGGTGAAATTACTGCATCAAGCATGGGTTCCCTGAAAGGTGATTTCTCCTCCATCCCCACTTCCTTCGTGGAGTGACGATCACCCTTGAATATAGGACTCACATAAGCCATTTTCCAGTCATCGGGGACCTTTTGCTCTCTCCAGGCATTTGCAGAACAGATCTTAAGGGACTCAGCAAGCTCGTTACACAGTTCTCTTAACACTCTGGGGTGTACCGTATCAGGGCCGGGACTCTTGTGAATCTTTAGCTTTGACAGTTTATTTCTTATAACTTCATCCGAGAAAACAATGTGGGTCAGCTGTATGTCAAACCATCTTTCCTCAAATGCAGGAATATTGTTAGCATCCTCTCTTGTGAACACCAATGACAAAAATTTGTTTTACGCCTCTGCCTTATCCTGGTCAGAATCTGCATAACTACCATCTTCAAGCCTCAGGTCCAATATGTCTACTCGCATTTTTAATTTAGACTTTGCGTAGCGGTAAAAAGCCTCTGGGTTTGACTTGGCCTCACTAGCAATCTGCCTCTGGAACACAGCACAGTACTGTATGTTGGTTTTACTTTCATTGTCTTTATAAACTGACCAGGTCCAGTATGGTAAGCCCTAAGATGCTTGTGTTAACACCTCAGAATCTTCTGATGCTGCAAAAAATTCCAAAACAGTGGAAAGAAAAAAATTTTGACCACATTACTTGTACAAAAATTGAAACATAGGACAATTTTTTTTCTTCAGAACTTCCAATTTTTATAAATTGGGGACTGTTCATATACAGTATATTTCTATGATGAGCACAAGAAAGAACACTTAAATTCTGGCAATGTTAGGCTAGCATGCTGGGGCCCCATACACTTTAATACTCTAAACAGCAGAAAATTCCTAAATCTGGCAACTGTTTGGTCCCAAACATGGTGTCATGGGCTGTGGTCCCCTCCTTATAACTGCACCATATATTTTGGCTATACAACGAATTACAGCCCCTCCATTTGAGGATTTGCAAAAATTACTACCTGTTTTATATTAACATAATGGTATGTTTAAACTAAATAAAACAAAATAGAGAATTTTATCTAATACCTAATCAAAGTTTTTCCTGGTGATGTCTGTCTAAATGTCTTTTGAGATTGGAAAGTCTGGCAGAACAGTATGAACAGCGAGGGCAGGAATATGGCTTTTCTCTAGTATGAGTACGTATGTGGTCCTTCAGAGCACCACTTTGAGTACTCCGGTAATCACAGTGCGGACAAGAATATGGCTTCTCTCCCGTGTGAGTGCGAAGGTGGACCTTGAGGAGGGACATGTACAGAAAACCTCTGGAACAAAACTGACATAAATATGGCTTCATGGTGTGATCTTGAGGATGAAGTACCAATGGCGAACAGTCGGAAAAATTCTTGAGGTATCTCGGCCGACTGAAGTTTCTATTTATAGCAAGTAAGTTCTTGTCTGGTTCCCAGGTTCCTTTCTCACACATTCTTTGTTCATCCACATCTACCTGCAAAAGATATCAGTCTTATGTTGACACAAGCATTACATTAAATTAATTGTGCAAATTTCTGAAGAAAATAAGGTAATCTTCATAGAAATTATTCCACTGTACAGCTACTCCCCGACTTATGACCACCCGGACATACGACCGCCTCAGTCATACCAAAATTTTGTCAAATTACGTATTTTCGAGTCCCAACGTCAGTGATTGCGCTGTGTACTGTACTGACAAAATTTTCGTTTGTAATTCACTTTAAAATGGCTGGCAAGCTTACAAGTGAGAGTTTTGTGGTGCTGAGAAAAAAAAGAGACACCCATTTTAGATTTTCTATGTACAGTATAGTCTGGTTTTACGTGGTTAATCAAACCCGTGGAGGTCCGTGTATAAAGCGAAGCACGTAAATAAAATAGCAGAACCTATGGGATTAATTGAAATAGAGGCTGGGCCGACCGCCAGACAACCCTTTTTTTGGCTATCGCCGACACAATACGTACATTGTAATAAAAATAACATCTTAATTTTATGATGGTATGCACACACAATTAATATATAAGAGAAATATCAATAATAGTAGGTTTTTTAACACTTACGTTAGTAGAAGAGATGGCTGGGCACACGGGGATGGGGGGTTGGTTCTGAGGCAGGGGGCAGATTATTGGCCCTTACCCGTCTCTCTATCCACCACAGAGGCTAGCAGGGCCTCGTCGTCAAACCCCTCGAAGTCCACATCCTCACTATCACTGACTTGGGCTGGCTGTGGTGATTGGCGGGTGAAGAACTCAGTGATGTTTTGTTGATGGCTAGCATTGATGTGGTCGTGATACAGCTGAACATAGGGCTCCTGGCATTTCAACAGATGGTTATTACACACTTCATAGCGATGATTGACTGGGTCTTTGGCAAGGATGAGCTACATTTTCTCAGCAAACTCGATGACATCCTTCACATCAGCATGTGTTAGTTTCTGCTCTTGTTGTTCTGTTCCACCTCGCTGCTCACTGATGTCATCATCGTCCGCAGTCACCTCAGGTTGCCTGATTACCTCCAGGATGTCGGTGGTCTCGGAGAAGCCTGCAGCTCTAACACCTTGTGCAGCCTCTCTTGCATTCTCCAATGCCACAGCAACAGACTGAGCCTCGCCAGCCATCGCTTGCCTCTGCCTCCCACCTGGGGTACCCTCCAACACATGCCGCCACGGGTGCCGAATCACTGCCACAGATAGCTGTCCCCATGCCTCCACCAAGAAATCAACAGCCTTCTTCACGTTAAACAGCTTCCAGAACTGCTTGACCCGCACTTCATGGTCCGCCAAATCTTGTTCGTCTTCCTCGTCCTCGCTCTTGGTGCCACTCTCTAGGTTCTGCAGTTCATCCTTGGTGTTGGTGAAGTCGTTCAGGAGCCGAAACTTCTTGGCGGAGAAAGCAGCCTTCACGTTGCAAATCAACTCCTGATCCATGGGCTGGATTAACGACGTAGTGTTAGCGGGAAGGAAGACCACTTTTACGTTGGGGGACGATCCAGCAAAAGGGGCGAGTGTCCTGGCGTGTTGTCAAGGAGCAACAAAATGTTGAATGGCACATTATTTTCCTTGCAGAATTTCTTGAGATCAGGAACGAGACAGTTGTCAAACCAGGAGAGGGACAGACCAGAGAATATCCACGCCTTCTGTGAGGTTAGCCAGTGGACATTTAACTTGCTCATGTCCATATTCTTGTAGGCATGCGGCTTGCAGGCTTTGTGAATCACAGATAACTTCAGCTTAACAGTGCCAGAGGCATTGGTGGCGAACAGTACAGTGATGCGCTCCTGCATTTTGCATCCCCGACACTTACTAGCAGACTTGACTACGAAGGTCTTGGATGGCAATTTCTTCCAGTACAACACTGATTCATCCATATTCAACACTTGGTCGTCGGTGTACTGGCCTTCCTCCATAATTTCCCGTAAAAATGGGGGAAAATTCCTGGCGGCAGCCAGGTCGGCATTTGCTCCTTCTCCGACTATCTCAATATTCGTGATCTTGTTGTGTCGTTTAAAACCTTGCAGCCACCCAGCGGAAGCACTGAAGGGCTTGGGCTCTGCAACCCCCATTTTTCTTGCTACTGCTGTGTAGAGTTCCCGGGCGCAGTCCTGCAGTGCCCGAGTGTCGACCACCATGTTCCTTCTTGACTGACGAATAATGTAGCTTACCAACAAACTCTCGGTCTTCAGCAGCACCTTATTGTGGCAATATTTCACCAGTGAGGAACCTACAGACTTGGTAATGTTCATGTGTTCATTGATTTTGCTGGCATCCTTCTTGACAGTGCGGA